TTAATGACGCCTCAGTTCCATCACATGTCCCGGTTACCGTTCCAGTGAGAGAGCATGCAATCTGTTATAAATGTTATAATGTCTGTGGTTTTCCTGCAATGACGTGTCATAATGTCTTCCATGAAAAGGTCTATTGTGCCCCTACATTGGGCCAAACATCACAAAAAAATTGTGGTGTGTGTGAGTAGTGGTGTGTGTGTGCTGTGTGGGGGGAGGGGTGGGGGGAGGGGGCGGGGGGCAGATGGATGTCTTAGGGAATCTGAAGAGTTAGCAATATTAAAATGATACCGAGTTACTGCAGGTCACATTTGTAGATTGGCTTTATATCCCAGCCATCAGATGTCCCCGAACTTTCCCTCCGTTCCCTAACACCGGACCTCCCCAGCTCACTCACACACCTGTTCCCAGTTTCCCCATCATCCCAGCCAGTGTTTATTCTAGCCACTTCCTCCTGCTGCCTGCCAGACTATGCTTTGCTCGTCACGTTTCTTTATGTCGTGGACTCCTGTCTGTCCTGTCTGCCTGTATTTGTCTGCATTTAAAGCATTTTCCAGTCGCTAATGTTGTCTGTCTTTTGTTTAGTGCTGGGCAGATGGGGTACAGTGTGTTTATCAGAGGTTTTTGCTGAAAACAGCTGCCTGCTGTGTTGCCGTTGATAAGGACGGAGTCTGGAAAACCAAAATAATGAGCTAAAAGAGACTGAAAAAGCTGCAGAGCTGAGGGGAACTCCAAAGTTAGCTTTAAGGAGAAGGGTACTATAAGCCAAAGAGGGTTTGTGCCAGTCAATAATATTTTTTGGATTTCTTTTTTACTGTGTGTGTTTATACGTCTGTTTGGCATCGACACTGACTGCTCGAGGTTTTATGGCTCAAATCCTGGCCGTGCTCTGGATCCTTCTTCTCTTCGCCGTGTGCATTAAAAAAAGATAGTCACTGGAAAGGTCATTCAGGTTTTGGCTGCTGCATACAAAATAAAATAAGCACAGTCTTTCTTTCAGGGGTGATACTGTATGTTCTTACTTACTGTTGTTTGTACTAACTTTGAAACACCCCCACCCTTAACTATTAGAAGCAACAGTGATAACATTTTTGGCTCTTGCACAAGTCTCTGACTTAAAGGCTTCTCCTCTTATCTGTGTGGGAATAATCAGTTTCCAACAGGATGTGACTTTAAAAATATATATTAATCACTCCATATCTTCTGACTTTCAATACACATTTTTGAGAGACAGATTTTAAAATAACATTTCAGTTAATGACATTCAGTGGGTTTCACAGACCGGACTTGGTCAAATATTATAAGTTAACAGAGGACATCCTCATGTCCTCCCTCACCGTCTGGTTCCTCTCTGCCTCCTCCTACTCAGTACACAAGCGCCGACCTGCTGAACTGTCAGCACTGCTAAGTGGCTGATTTGTAATCAACAGCCTCGCTCTGAAATTACACTTGATTTCACCCTCTGATGTGTATCTTAGATATCAGCACTCAGCTCTGCTTGAACAGTCTTTAACTACTACCGTGCCTGCACAGGTCTTGTACATTCGCAGTCTGCTGGGTAGTTGTGGATGCTACTTGCTTTGGCTCACCAAATGAATCATGAATGTTGTTTTTCATAAATGCTAAACTGTAATTATGTATTTATGGAGAGTGTGTGTGTGATGTTCTAGTCATTTTCTTAAAGAATAAGTCTTTCAGTTTTCTCATCAACAAATCCCATGAAAAGACCAAAACCAACAAATACAAAGTGTAATTTTATTTCAAAAACATGAATCATGAATTTCCTTAAGTAGCTGCTCACGTTCATTTTTAGCAAAGTGCAGTTAACAGTGCATTCGTTGGTGACTATTTTCAGCCGTGGATAAACACACACTTGGTGCTCTGCTGAGCAGCAGCAGGATGGTGCATGTGGGACTGACTCAAAAACTACAATGGCCATGTTTATTGTAATGAAGGAACATGTCATCAGTGCAACGGTGTGGCAGATGTTTTTAATAGTCTATGGACAACAAATGTGCTGAACTACAGAGAAATAAATCAAATCAGGCTTTGGCCACACATGCAAGACTTTGTAATAGGATCCATCTGTCAGTTTTGGTCTGCTGAAGGGGTTTGTTGACAGTGTGAAAAAGATAAAATGTCCAACTTTGTCCTCTAAGGGCTGATTTTTTTTGCCAACATTGAACTTTCTTGATTGGAAATATCCAGCATGAATCACACTGGCTGTAAAGTGTTCAGTCTCAGCTGGGTGTGTTGTGGGCAAACAGCTTGTTGTTGTGTTTGGTTCTGTTACCGAGGGGAAGGAAGTGATCAAACAAAATGTTCTGGTACACTGTACTTAAGAGCTGTTTATTGTCTCTTCCCACCTCCTGGATGCAAGCTGAAATTCAAAGCACGAGCTGCGACACATGCGCCGCTACACAAAACCTAACCCAGCAGAACGCAGACATTTTCATCCCTATAGCTAGAATGGTTAAAAAAATGTAGTTTCTTCAGGCATTAATCAAACCATTTCTGCCTCCAAAAATTCTTGGAGCTACACCTTCATCCCGTTTCAGAGTAACCAATTCAGGGGCTGCCACCGGGGCAGATGGGTCTGCTTGGTGGTTTTGGGTCTCGAGGGCTAGTTTGACCTTTGTTAATCGAGATCTGCGGTGGTTAGGCCTGCTTGGTAATTCTGCCCCGCCGACATCTGCCCTTTGAGTCTCACTGATAAATAGTTTAATGTGTGAACAACTTTTTCATGTGAGCAAATCTTTAAAAGAGCTTTTTAAATTCATATAACTGGGATTAGAATCTAACTTTGAATGATAGGTCTGGTGTTCTGTATATGTTGTTAGAACATATCAATGAGTGGGGGCACTGTAGTAAATCAAGTAAATCAAGCTGAAAATAGTCCCCAACAAAAACACAATTTACTCTTGTTGAATAAATTTGCTATTGTAGGAAATAATTTCAAATTAAACATCATTAATCTCCAGGTAGAAAGAAGATACAAAATAAACTATATGGATAGAAGGAGTGTCAGGGACAAGGTGGTGTTGATCTTTAGAGACAGTTTATTTAAACTTGAATTCATGTACAGCAGTTCCACTGGAGAGGGAAAAAGGATTTGAATGACATCCTAGCCACATTAAACCTATGGTCCTATCTACTGTATGTACAGGGAAGAGGATGCAGCTCGACAGTGCAGAAGGCACAGAGTTGGCTTAATACTAGCCTGTAAGCGCTGCTAATATGACAGAAAGGATATCAAGGTGAAATGGCAGCCTTATATACGAGACTCCTGTGTGTGTTTTGCTTTATGTAAAAGCCAGGGAGGAGAATATGGCTCCACTGTTTTAACTCCAGTCCTCAGTGATATAGTGGAGCAGATTCAAAGCTACGACAGCAAGCGTGGTCATTGGAGCTTCTTGGAGCTCAGAGGTGGAAACACGAGCATTGTGTCTGGATTTGATTCTGGAAAGCCGGTGCGTTTTACAATACGTGATATGTGAAACAAACCCCCCCCCCCGAAAAAAACAGACAATGTTAAGGCATTTTGCAATTAGAGACGCAATTCTAACCAAAGATGAAGACAGAGAAATCACACAAAGAGGGATAAGACGCAAGTAAATGCAGGTCACCAACGTTACTTATGACGGTTTGGCAATAATATGGCATGCTTCATTCACATCTTCTAAGATCCCTCCACTCACACACACCCTGCCAACCTCCCACCCGCTTCCCATCCGACACCCACAATCTCCACCCGTCCAGAGAGAGCTGCCAGATCCTTCATAAAGAGTCCAATCGTGAGCACACAGGAGACGGCCATGACGGTAAAAAGCAACAGGTGCATGCTCGAATATGATACACGTCAGAATTAGGAAGACTTGTCCCAGCATCGTTCAATGTGGAGCGAAAAAGGTATCACAACCATTAGGAGCAGAACCCAACAACCTCTCAATCATCCACCAACGTGCACGCACACACACACACACACACACACGCACACGCACACGCACACGCACACACACACACAGAGAAAAAATTAAAATGTACAAAGTGTTTGATACAATAATGTGACAAGAGATTTGTTTTTGCCACAAAAAGATAAATCATATATGAATATCACTCGAACTAAAACACAATTCAAGTAAAGCCTTTCAAACAGAAAAAAAATAATAATCAAACTACGTCATATTTTAAAATAAGTTGGAATTCTTGCATCTCAGATTTAGATTATGCTTCTTATTAAAAAGTACATTCAACAGGTACATCAATTATGGAACAAAAATATAACACAGAGGTAAGTAAAATCTACCAGTAATTGCTATTGAAAAAAAAAAGTCATACATAACGTATATAAAAAGGCGGATTTAGATTGTTGTTTATTCTCTAGTTTTCCTTTACGACTGTTTCTACTGCATCTTCTCTGGGTAAAGACATGCGAAGATCAATTTAAACGTGTTTTCATTCATGGCAGAACAGCACTGCGGACAGTGTTTGGTGACTCAGGATTTTAACCTAATCTAAGAAAAGGAATCTATTATATTGTTTTCCCTTTATGGCAAATCCAATGTGTTGCAGTACATTTGGAATAAATGATTGTCAAAGTCAACCATGCTCTCAAAATGGAAGAGCACAAATTTCCATCCTTAAAGCTACAGTTTCAGCACAACACAATGACAACTTTTATGTATGGATGTCAGGGGAGGTGGGCTTGTTTTATTTCCGTGCGCAGTCAAGTCACTATGCATGGAGGAAATCCCATTACACTCGCAGGTATCCAGGCGCTCAGTCACCTGGAACGAGCTTTCAGAGAATCACAGTCTAAAGCCGCCTTTATTTATCTGAACATCTTCCAGACTCACTCACACACACACTCACACACCAAGTGAGTTTTTGCACATTTTGTTGTACTACAAAATAATAAAACTTATTTTAATCATAAATATATTAATTTTATAAATATAATTATAGAGTAATTTATAATTATATTTATTTTTATAAGGAGCCCCACTTGTTTGTTCAACATCAAACATTTACATGTGACCTTGGACAATTTTTTTTTATTTTTTATCTTTTATTTCTTTGCGGGAGCGAATAACACAAAATGTGCAAGAAGTCTGAAGGTGCACTAACTAAGCAAACACTTGAACACGTGCAACTGATATTGACTTGCTTAAAATAAAAGCACGAGTAATTCAAAAGCCTCTTAAAAATATAATAACTCAAGGGCCACTTGACATTTACATTAATAGGACACAGATCACAACTTTAGATTTCAAACCACAGGCTCATCAGACTGGAATAGAACAAAAAAGAGAAAGATGGCTGTGGAAGAAGGGACTGGCAAGCTAATGTTGGAAAGAGAGAAAACGATCTCCCCGCCTATTTTTAAGCAAGCAAGTCAATCATATCGTACTGTAGGTAAGGCAAGATAATGTTTCGCTTCATCCAGGTGCAACAAAGAAGACTGTATCGAACATCACGAGTCTAGAAGCCAAAACCACACAACCGCGGCAGAGCGAGTGGCAGCTGATAGAAGACGAAGAGGCAGGTGAGTTGATGAAGCCACGGAGGAAAGAAAACAAAAGGCAGAAAATCATATTTTAAGTGTGACGACATCTACTTGTCTCAAAATAAGAAAATAAGAACTAATTCTCAACACAAACCACAGGTTCTGCAGCTGATTTAACTGCTATTAAAATGGGACTCATTAATTTCACTGTTGATGGTGTATTTTGTTTGTACATTAATGTGCGCAGTGCAATTATCTAAATACTTTACTCCTTGTTCACTGACACTGCAGTCACACAGGGGAAATGGATATTTAATTTGGCTGAGATAGAATATGATTGAGAGTTAAATTCAATTAAATGAACTAATTGCACAAAGCTGCTTTTTGAATGGAGTTCATGAAATGTCCCAATTCTGATCAGACTCTTGGGTTTGGTGCAGAGAAACATGCTACATTCATTCTCTTCCCTGTTGAAGCTGCAATGCCAAGTGCATACTTTTGATTTAATTCACAAGCATCTCATCCTCAAGCAAATATCTCAACCCAGGTATTTAAGCATATGCAGTTCACTTAAAAAACATATTTTAAGTGACTAAACACCATGCTCTCTCATCACAGGAGAAAAAACACTTTGAATATCTCAAAACCTTCTGTAAACAAACATTTACATGATAGTTGCTATAAAATGTATAGTGTGACCCACTTCTGCAGTTGGAAAGGAATTTTTTTTCTCTATCTAGCTTTAAAAAAAAAAAAAAAAAAAAAAAAAAGACTAAATGACTGGTAGAAAAATGGTAATGTAGTTCTTGAATCTGGCCTTTTGCTTTTGTTTACGTACTGCATGTTCTGACATGGCACAAGGGGACTCAGGCAAAATAATGATAATAATAATTATAATAATAAACCAAAAGAAAAAAAAAGGTTTTGCACAGAATATCAGAGTTCCTACAAATATTTACACCACAGATACAGGCACTTGTATATCTTTGGTTGGAGAAACCCAACATTGCAAGAGTAATGCATTCACAGAGCTTTTGTGTCCCTTATTGTATTTCCAGGGTTCACTAGGCAACTGGTATGTTTATTTTTATTTCTTCTGTTTCTTTGAGTTTGTCCATGTTACAGGTAAGTTCTGACATAGCTCTCTGATGACTTTTTAACTCTCTGACAACGCCACCTGCAACACAAGAAATGTAGTTTAGTCCAGCTCACGACCTCGTGACACAGACCCTCACACACACACACACACACACACACACACATCAACATAAGAAATAGAAATGTGGACAGAAGCAGTGAAGTCAGATGAATGCAAGATGACAGAGAAGATTCTTTAAAGGAGCTGTCTGTAAGCGTTGCTATTGCTACATAGCCAACATTAGCATTAACTGCTGTTCACTTACCAGGCTAGAAGAAACGTTGCGAGTTCGCCATCAAATTCACTCCTTTTGCCCGCTCCAGTGGTGGAAAGCAACGCCAATGTTACCTCTGGTTTTGCTCCTATTTCTATCTTTTCTTTTCTTCTACTGAAGTTAGCATGCTAACCAGCTAGCTCCGCCCGAGTTTCGAGTGACTGTTGCGTCTAGTCTGCACTGAAGAAGTAGCGCTGCTCAGAGGACATATTATAACCTCTTGTATAGTAAATGCATGGATGGCTGAAGCTCTAAGCAAGGCTGGTAAGTAAAAAGCTGTTAATGCTAACATTGGCTACTTAGCAACAGCAAAACTTACAAATAGGTCCTTTAAGTTTGATCAGATTTCCTCAAGTAATTTTGACAACTGTAACTACTGCCAAAGTCTCATGCTTGATAACATGACTAGGTCTAAATGTAGTGGCTTGAAGAAGTCACTGAAATATCTATTTTGCAATCATAAAGTATCTAAAATGTCACTATCAGAGTGAAGGACTTCTCTATTCAACACTGTGTAGCTGATATCAAACATTATGCAAATTTATCATTCATATCCACATTTCCATGATGTGTTTATCACAGAGTTAGTGATGCTTAACTGGCGGGGCTGTTCTTCAGTAAAAACAGGAACAAGACAACAGTATATGGACAAATTCTGCGCTATTTGGTCAGCAGGCTCGTTGCAGGGAGGAATAGTACAAACATTGTGCTGTTGGATGCAGAATTTTAGTTTGGCTCAACCCCCATCTGCCTGCATCCAAAAAATAAATAAATAAATAAAACAGTATAATTTGTTCCGTTGTTCGCTCAGCGGGACACTCCCAACCATCCGTTCGGCCTGACTCAGACAATGAGTCAGAGCATCTCTGTTCACCTCTGAACTGGTGCGAGCTGCCTCAGTGTACAGTGGCTGGGATGATGGGTGATACGTGTGGGTAACGCCGTTGAGTTACATCAAACAATAAGACCAAAGAGGACAACCTTCCTTTACTCCCGGAGCGAGATGCGACGACGCACGTACCACATAAACAATGTTCACCAACAACTCACCTCCTGATACAATCACTATAAACATTACCTGAAGCATAATTTGCAAATATGTTTGTGTTAACATCAGCAGTATTAATATGTGCTCTTTGTCTTAAGCAGGAAGGAGTTAATGTGCCAGAAAGTGCAACTGTTATATATAGTCATTTATATATTTTGGAAAATTGGCAGAAAAATCAGAAGCGTGATTGGATCATGTCTTGGACCGATCACTGGTCAACTGATGCTTGGCTGAAACTACCTGTTCACGTCACATAGCACTGCTGGTGTCTGTTGTACCTTCTCAGGGCAGAAGTCAGGGTTGGTTTGTCGTACTTTGCCGGGCCGCCCCTTAATGACTGCATAGCAGAACATAGTGATGACCATGACAAACAGGAAGTAGCTAGTGTGCATCAGATGCAGGTTGATGAGAGAACGGTCATCCTGGTAAGAAATGTGTTGAAAAACAAAAAGAGTTAAGAACAGAGTTAAATAACTGAAGGTTTTCCTATAATAAAAAGGGAACTTCTACATGCTCCATACACAAAATGTGCTGCAGGTGCTATAATTAATCAGTACCTGTACATACCAGGGCTGGGTTACAATATAAAGTCACAGTATACTTATTTAATCATAACTTTAATTTACAGAATGTGATTTAAATACAGTACGAGACTGTGGGATTTTTTTTTTTTTTTTATGAACTTATGAGTTATTATCAGTTAACTTTTAATATACTTAGTATGATAGTTTACATGTTGAGACCTTATACTGCAGAGCTGATATATGCATGTGTTTTGTTGTCACTGCAGCACAACTTTGGGATTTTCTTTTGGGTGACATGTTTGCAGCTTGATATTACAAATATAATATTACATATAATATAATATTACAATCTATGAATCCAGTATCTTTTAAAGACGCGTTGATAAGTCCAGTGGCCTGATACTTAAGGCCAATTCACCATAACTGTAATTAACACCTTTATGGCATGACACAGTAGGACTAAAGAGTAAGGAAATAAAACATGAGGAGACATAAAATGAAAATTGTACAGCCATTTCTGCCCCATATGACAAAATAAAGAGGAAGCAAGAAAAAGGAAGCAAACAGAAACCTCAAGTGTCAATCCATTTCTCTCTTATTTTGTTGACGATGTCTCAAGCACCACTCCCGTATCCTCTGTGTGTTGAAGTGGGCTGAGATCAGGTAACTGTGCAGGCACAGCATATATTTTGAAATTGTTTCCGGGCTCACTGAACCATTCAGAGCCCAGTTGTGGTCTGTCAATGGGATCATTGTAATCCTGGAACAATCTACTGCCATCAGTATAGAGCTAAGACTAAATGGCTTTTAGAATGGGCTTTGTGTTTGGTCACATTCACCTTATCTTATAAGGGGGTCGGGGAGTGATTTGATACCGTCTGAAAATCACACCTGAATAGTTCCAATGACATATTTGGCCTTTCCTGTATTTTTCACGTATTGTGTTGAGCTACAATTACTTTAATAATATAACATTATAGAAAAAAATGTATGTTAAGTTAGGTATAAAATACCTCATTAAGAAGTATATACTTCTAACCATCTGACATCGTATCTGCTTGTTTGAGTAGAAGAAGCTGCATCACCAACATTTCACTCTAAAACCTTGTCTGTATCGTAACTTTTAAATTTATACATCAGAAAAAATGAATTGGAAAATGAGAAATGAAGAATAATTTACAGAAATGAGTGCAACTGGCAGGAAGCATTTGGAAGAAGTCTCCCTTCCACCTGAGAGATCTCCACTAATTACAACATTTGACACTTGAACCAGGAACTCTGGAAGAACCTGAACAATGTTTGCTAGAAATGAGAAAATAAGGAGGTGGTGACTCACATCTGGAACGATGACAGTAAGCTTTGGGTTGAGTGCGTGGTACACCTTGCCGATGGCTCCTTTGTAACACCAGAACGGGTTGTAGTCCTGACTGTACTTGGTATCCGAGTCACGGACTGTGGTGAACACCTTGTACCAGGATGTGGCATTGGTGTACGTCTCCGGCACGCAGTGTGGCGGCTGCCTGCAAACCGAAACACAGATTGCTGTTCACTGACTGGTGTTGGTTTGATTATGGTGCTGAAGGTCGTGACGGTAGAAAAGTTACAGATGTTGTTGAAGAATTTATCGACTTCTTTATATAATTCTCTGTATTTATTCATTATTTATTTCAAATGTTTTTATTATGGAACATTTTAAAGAAAATAGCAAGCAAAAATAGCTTGAAAGCAAAGGAACAAATACACCAAAAACTAACAGCTAGATTGCGTATAACAATAAAACAAAAATCAATGTACAGGCACAGAACTGTAGATAAATATCTATTCTTACTTATTGATTTTATTTTCACATTGTGCAGTTAATCTTTGGACCCCCAGAGATTTCAAAAGACAGCTAAAACCCCATAATACTTTCCACTTAATTGAGATACTACAGTGTGATATTCAAAGAGTTTGTCCACACTGACAGCAAAGACAAACTACCGATATCAAAGTCACATCTGACATCTGATAGATCCAAATGACACTGCTGATAGTTCTCAGTGGTAAACGGTACAGATTCACAGACGGACAAGACGAGCCGCTGCTCATCTCTTCAGGCTCCAGAGGTCCTGGTGCCCGTTCAATCAAATATTCAACATGAAAGCTGTGTTTGCTGCATGAGATTGTTTTGACACGTTTCACTAATCTAAACAAATAAACTTGTGCCTCACACATGAGCGTGTATGAACCCTGTAGGGCTCGCAAATTCATCATTTGCATGTGTAAATCATTTGGGAAACATGATATGAAACAAGTGACTATAGATTCACAGCTGCTGTGAAGGTGTTTGAAGATAAAATTTAATTGGGAGATTTCAACGACTGCTACCGAGAGAGCAGCCTCGTTTGGAAGCCCACGCAGGACATGAGACGGGGCTACAAACAGTAGCTGCGAACAAAGAGAGCAGAGTGGTGGCTTTGACTCTCTAATAAACTCTCTTTGGCTTCAGTGATACAGACATCATGTGTCTAACGTGACAGACATGCAGAGCAAGTTTAACATGACCAGACAACAGCTAAGTTTCATTTTTGTAGATGAATAATTGTCATCTGCAGCTTTTAAAATCTGCTGGCAACATTTTTGATTCCAGCTGGTGGTTGCCATCTTCAAATAAAGAAACTGAAAATGTGACCTTATTTGATATTTGTTTAAATGCTATCTGACCATAAGGAAAATACCACTGCAAATCATCATGTGAATGAAATTTGCAATGATTTGATTAATTTGTTATTTGCTAATAAATAAAGAGAGAATAGAGGTGCAGGTATAACATCTAACTAAACTCCACCATATATACAGTATATATATAAACATATTTATCTTTATCAGTTCAACTTTTAGCATTGGACTGATCTGAAAGTATTTCACTTTGTTGTTGCTGGGTGTAAAGAACAATAAATGCCTCTATGTGTTTTGCCTTCATCCTCATTCACACATTGGTTCTCTTTTCTTAGACACAATATCACCAGCTGCTGCGGCTGTCTAGATTAAACACTGTACGGACGCACACAACAGTCACACCCAAAGCAGTGAGAAATGACGCGAAGACAAACATTAGATACTGAATTTCAGTTGGTCAGTTATCACTCAGCTCTATGCAGAGATATGAAGTGTCTTCCTGTGAGTCAAGAAGGCAATCCAACTCACACTGTGACTGGGAAGATATTGCTGGCCGCTGTGATGGTCATGCAAGTGCTGAACACCACCTGCTCGCAGTGTCCGTGCAGCACGCAGTCGTCTGAATTCCAGGATACAGGCAGGGTGAAAGTGATGTTTATTTCTTCATGGGCTTCCCGGCCTACGACACAAAAACATGTGATTTTACAATGAGAGCATAACAGCTTATTATAAGATTTACATTATTGGAGACAAATCTGTGTCTCTTCTCTAAGTGCTTCCACTTTTCAATCACTCTGTTAGCCTTCTATGTTTATGAAACGTACCCATTACCACAATTTATATGCCTCTAACTTGCATAGCCACATTCTCGTAATTGTTATGTTGACATGGTAATAATTGGTTGTGATTAGCCATGATCAGGCTAAAACAAACTGCAGGCCTAGAGAGAGGCGCCTCCTACCTCTGAGGCAATTATTAGAGCCTAAAACAGCCTGCACACAATTCCCACAGCAGGAAACCAGGGACAGCCGCAGCAGCAATATTTGATGTCATACCAAGCATCTCCCCTGATAACAAATGACAGACTGATTGTAGGCTTATGCAATATTTATCAAACTGCAAAGGGGATTATAAGATTATCATTCAAACTGAGTGTACTCCTGGGTATGACTGAACATAGATGTGTATATCCAGGGGTGGTGGTGGTGGCGGAGGTGGCGGCGGCAGCAATGAGTCTCAAAGCAAAAGTAATTCAAGCCAAAGTCAAACAACTGGTGACCTTTCTAGTTAGTCTTCATGCGCTTCATCTAGGTAATTTTCTCTCAAAATTTCATTTGTGGAATACACATGAAGAAGGTTAATTGGATCGAGACGTAGACATGAGAACCACAATTCATGATGAGGATTTATACAGAAAATCTCATTTCAAAATAATAACTAATATACAGTATACAACACATTTGTTTACACATTCATATACAATGTTTTTTTTTTTTAAATAGATAAATGATGCATACTAAAATTTAAAGAAATCAGTTTTGAACAGTAATTGATTTTCCAAGGCTCTTCCCTCTCATACTGTGTCAATTCAGCCAGGACTGCAGTATTTACTCAGTCTAATGCAATATTTGCATAGCTCCTTATTGACTTTGCCCATCTATTCTTGTTCCTTCGTAAATCTAAAACAAGGTAGTTCTTGGCAGACTGCTGAGCCAAACAAGGGCCTGAAACATGGGAACGTTCGTCTTTGCAGATTTCAGTAGTTGAGGTATTGTGCATTCAGTAGCCACGCCAAGTTATCTATCAGCCTTGGCATGAAATTATTAGTGCACGTCAGAGATAATCAAAACAGATCAAGTATTTGGAGCTAGAACGTCCTCAAAGGCAAAAAGCTAAGACCACATATACTGCCAATCTGGACGGGATTAATATCAGTGCGTAGGGATGTGACAAATAAAATTACTGAACCTTAACCGTGGAATTTAATCTCCTCTGAATAGAGACAGAGATACAACATTTTCATTTTGCTCTGTCACTATGGTAATAGAATGACATTCCTAAATTGACCGATTTACATATCCTGACAATAATGACGTTTTGTTTCATGTCCACTACATATTTAATTTTCTTAAAAGATGGCACCAGATTCAAATATGAAAATTAATTTTAGCTGCTTAAAGTAGATGCAGAACTCTGATGCCAAGTTTAAAGATGCAATCGTTTCTTTCATCCTCCCAAATTCTTTCTATGTGGAGCTGCTGACTGCTGCCTTTAAAAATAGTCCACGTCAGTAGCATGCATACATTTCTCACATGACAAATAACTCACGAAGCAGTAACAATGTCTTTGTGACAATAATGTGCCTGAGTCTATAGTACAGAGAAACAAATTTGCTGTTGCATGTGCAGAATTCCTGCTTCGAGAGATGTAGTGACAGCTCAAGCCAACCTGAAACATCAGTATAGGTGCGTGCCATACAATGCTTTCACTAGATCATCACCATCTGATATACTGAGCTAAAATAAATTCTGGTCCTTCATTTTAGCTCACAAAACTGCATTCTGTCTGTCAGCTGTGTATGAGCGGTGTATCCACAACCTGTAGTAGCGAGGCATGGCTGTTAGTTAATACAGGCTGGTTTGTAATGGTGCATTTACAGCTGTTTTGTTGAGATCTCTAGCTACACTGTAAGCGATGGATTGATGACATTTTCTATTTGTGTTGATGCTTTTCATGAAGTAGAATGGAGTAAAACAAGTTTGTGATAATGATCTTAAACTGGACAGGTGAGGATCACAAACAGGTACACACACTTATATAAAACAAGCCCACACACAGGTAAACAGGGCACAGGAACAACAACATTAGTTACTGGCTCTTGTATTACTTTTCCAATATTTAATGGCTAGTCATTACAGCTCTACCTAATTTCCTGTCTAACACATTTTTCCCCCAAAGACTGACCACAGGTCAAATAAACTGGTGATGATGAGAAAGAGAACCTACCAGATAGACCAACTTGCTGCCCCAGCACTGTGGCGTACAGGTGAGTGATATTACGAGAATACCCTCCGAACGGGCGCTGGGGGTCCAGCGTGAGGGTGATGGGGACTGAGATGTTGATGGGACCCGAGTCCTCCAGCAGGAGCGGAGCCTGGGTGCTGGAACGAGCTTGGCCGCTGGTCACGACCATGCTCTCTGGTGTGGTGGACTCGTTCAGACCGTGCTTTATCGTTTCATTCTCCGACACACAAAAGTCCAGCTCATTGAAGCGCAGCAGAAAGGTGTTCCAGTCCTGACAAAGAGTAAGAGTTTTTTGAATGTTGGACATGACAATATGTCGTGATTAACCAAAGATCTATTATCTGATTTACACCATACCATGCACAGAACCTCCCTTATGATATTTAAGCTATGCATTAGCAGATAACATTTTTTTATATATATATCCACAGATATACCTTCAGTCCATCCAAGTATGTTACTACTTACAACCTTTTTGATTTGCATATACTTCCTGTTCAGATTCACATGCAAAAGGTTTGTTTCCACATATGTACCTTCTGTATGGGACTGTAGGGGATGTATTCTATATTCAGTCTTTATAATCGTTTGGTTTTGCTTTGACTTTTTGTTATCTCCAATTATCATCTTTATTTTCATGTGTATGTTACAGCCACTTGGAAAGCGGTTTAATGTATTGTATAGCTTGCACAATATATTAAGTAAACCTTTATTCCCTCGTTGTTATCCTAAAAGAAGCTTTTTTTTAGCCTTAAACACTGAAGTGGGTGACACTAGAAAAAGCTGAACAGGTCAGACAAAAGCAGCATGATTTAAAATTTAGGGCAAACGCATCCCTGTGGCATGAAGCAGGTCACTGAGCTCATGACCTGACATTTACCTTTAACAGTGACCACATGTTATTGGTACATGAAAGATACTTAAAGGAGCAAACCATATAAATTCATCTCCTTTAAAGAACTGAGTGCATGTGCCTCACCTCTGTCAACTCTGGAGACTTTATCTCTTTAATCTTGAAGAAATAACCGATGGTCAGGAAGGCGATCGCCACTGCACTGACGCTGATCATAAAAATGACCAGTGGTGGACGGTTGTTGATGTAGCTTCTAAGGTTCTCTATAGGATTCAACAGGTACACCTGCATATGGACAAATACACAATGTTCCAACATGTAAGCAATAAGCTTGTGTCTCACTGGGGTTTCTCACAATGATAGTAAATAATAAGATCTTACACCAACACTTTAAATTATGCATAATCTGTATCTGTGTATTTAGAATAGATCATGCAGTCACAGATATACAAATATGACAATAGATAACAGCTGCCTAGGGCTAGAGTCTCAAAACCTGAGTCTGTGTGAGGTAAATTTAAAGCATTTAAAATGTGATGCATTAATAAATGGGCCAGAAAAAATTTAGGGTTAAAATTGTGCAAAAATTAAAGGTAGTTTGGCTGAATCTGAGTCAGAATGTGACGACTGCTGGCAGATTTTACTCTGTTGTGACTGTCATGCCAGGAGGGTTTGACAAAAAAAAAAAAAAAGTGTATTGTACAGTTTGTCTGATTAATGTTGCTTAAATGTCCTTCATAATGTAGGATCTGATGAAATCTCAGAGGGTAAATTGGGGAAAGATTAAATTTAATCTAAACAATTTGAATATTCTGGCTCTAAGTGTCAACAATGCCGATGTGCTCAAGTTCCTTTTCTGTCACTCTGGATAGATGCAATAATGCAATAAATACAATTCTGATCAACTACAAATGAACCACACCTCTATAATGTTTAATTTAGAGCACCACAAAAATGACTCCCATTGACAAAATGTAATAAATGTGTATGTATGTATATATAATTCATAAATGCTGACGTGTATACCAGTATCACTTGTGCAGTACCTTTAGGTCCTTTCAAATGTATACACTCTGTGTTTGACGCTACAGTGGTTGCTTATATATACTGAAACTTCACATCAAATGGTTTAGCAAGTTGCTTTTAGCAGGAGCATGAGGTTTCAATGGGACATATGTCAACATACACAGGTTGATTTACAGGCAATGAAAAGGAACGAGTGGTTTTGAACTGGTATGTCTTCAAGACTGTTATTCAGCTAATACGTTAATGAACCAACTGTTTCTGACTGGTTCATTATCAACTTCAAAAATTAAAAACAACACATGGCAGATTGCTTCCTTAGACACTGACACTGTATAACAGACTTTGTTATGCAAAATATTTTACTGCACACCAAATACAGAGCATTTATTTATTTTTCCTATAAAAAGGCAGAAACTAGGATTGTCATTTCTTCAATGTGCCAACCAAAAGTTTTACCAACTAATATATATTTCAAAATTGCCAAAAAAACAAAACACCAAATCATCGTTGACAGTTTGACGCGTGTTTTTTAAGTTGCCACTGTGGTGCAGTAGTAAGATAAGTGTTTATGCAAATAAATGTAAGTTTTACAACCTGTCCAGTTTAAAGAAGGACGCTCATCATCATCCGTCACTCTACCTGCCTGTCTGCTTGTGCATGACGTGTAGCCATATTCTTCAAGTCAACATACTCTATGGTCAGTACAGCAAGCAAGTCTAGTTTCCATGGAGAGGAAGTCCAAATTTTCCTCCAAAATACTAAGGTCTCAATTCCGGCTGCAGCATACAGTAAGAAGTCAAAAGTTGACATTTTGTTGAAGCAAAACGATTAAAAAACGTCAATGTTTTCAAAGTGCAGGGGCCCTTAGTCTTCCTAATTCTAATTATACAAAGTAATTGCATTTGGCATTAAACAAACATCTTTAAACTGCAGGGGTTTTTCAGTCAAGGGCTGTATTTAGCTCTCTTCACACAAGAGACCGCAGCCAGCCAGGTGACAGAACCTGTCAACGCTGTAGCACGATAAGCTAGCTACCTGGCCCTTTCACAATTCTTGCGAGATGTGACAACAAACGTGACATATTAAGGGTCAGGCTATAACATTGCCAAAACAGCTGGCTAAATATAATGAAATTAGACAGAAGCAGCTCTCACCATTTTCTCTTTCTGTGCATGCGACGGATGCTAGCTGGGTGTTTCGTTGCGGGCCACAATAAAGGCAGCAGTTTTGCTAGCAGGCTAGCCTCGCTGCGGAGCTAGCCTCTACTGCTAGCTTGCTTGCTTTCCAGAAGCTAGTCCCTCCTGAATGTACAGCTGAAAAGCAAAAGTCGGTGATCGGTGGAGACGGACAGGCTTTCAGCGTTAAAAACACCACGTATACTCCTTCCCATTCTTTGCTCTATAGTTCACTGCAGGTCTGATGAGAAGTATCTCTTGCGCACAGTCTGGAATAACGTCAATAATATATCTGGGTCCTCCCTACTGACATCTCCTCCGCGTACTCGCGCACTGCGTAGTGAAAGCGTCGCAGCGCCGCCTTCTGGTTATTTCTGTAGAATCTGCGCCCGAAATTGATCGTCCATTCATTGAGAGATATTGCCGCTTACGCAATTTACGTACAAGACGAGCGAGCTCCCATCGTGTTTACAAATCTTACAAGGCTCTTGCTATATTCAGGTACCGTCGGAAATATAAAGTGTAAAGGGGTTGCGCAACTGATGATTAGGTATGCTTATTTCGTGTCTTTAACTCGGATGTATTGTAGTGTTTTGAAATGTCCTGTGCTACGAAACTAATAATAATAATAATAATAATAATAATAATAATAATAATAATAATAACAATCATAATAAATTTGAATGATAAGAAGAAGAAGAAGAAGAAGAAGAAGAATTATTATTATTAATTTAGGTATTCTACAACTACCTAGGAGTACAATATGCAGAAACTTCTATCCGGGTATTCCAATTTTTCTTGTAGCTACCAAGCTGTAGTAACTTCTGCATTATTTATCTTTCCACCTGACCTGCCAAATAACAGTATGAGAAGGAAAATTATAAATGCAACTGGACTGTTTTGATTTTTGTTATATGTTAAATTGTTCACAAAACATTATTATTAGTTCTAGACTATTAAGAGGGTACGTGCATGAAGTATAATACTTCTGCAGTTGTATAATGAAAAATGCCAGCCTAGGGGTATTTCGTTGTCCAATTTGAGCTCGTTCTTCATCAGTTAAGGTAAATAAATGAACAAACCGTCTAAATAATGAACATAATTTATAACTGTCATAAGAGAAAATTTAAAAAACGTAAATATCATTATTATAATACCACCTATCAAATAGTGGCATTTATTGTGCCACTGGTTCTGGTGGAATTTGCAACCAATCTGCCAATTTGGATGAGTTTTTGTCTGGTAATTTTTGCTGCATGAACACTTAAAAATATATATATAAGAAAGAATAATGAGAACAAAAAGTGCTCCGGTCCAGCAGATGGCAGTAGATACATCCTGCTACACGTTTAAAGGTGCACCGTTTCTCCACGCTTTGAATTCAATTAGCAGCAGAATGCCAGTGAACACCGTGCTGACTGCAGCTGCCCCGTTGGCTTTTAGCCTTTAGCTTTGTTTAGTTGCATCAAGCGAAACAGTTCACTAGAGATTTACCGGAAGTAGACAGTATATCCTTCGAAATAAAGAAACTATCTCGCTTGTGGAAATAGATAAGGCACTTCGCATGTTCTACGAGGTGGAACAATAGTACGATCTTAGTATATAAGTGTTGCAAACTTAGTTCAACACATTTTAAATTTAATTGATACAAAATTCTCACATGCCTAGCTATTATTTTGAAGGCATAAACCGGAAGTGGGTTGTTTCTCTACATTATAGTAGAATTTAACATGACACTCGAGCTGTTGTCTAACAACAATGCGAAGGGGGAGTAGAAATTTAAAACGTGTTAACATATTTTACTAAGATTCTTCAAGGTACAGTAGCTAAATATGCACAGATATATTTGCAACGTGTTCACTTATATTTGATAGTTGCTGTGAAATCGTTTAGCTGGCTAGGCTAGTCGTTTGTATGTGTAACAGAAGGAGTATGGCTAAAGCTAATCAACTAGTTAGCTTAACAATTTGCCTTCGTGTCATCAAATTTACACGTATCTTGTGCACGTATGGTTAACGTTTAAAATGATATAACCAGACCGTTATAACTGTAAACACATAGGCATTCTTCAAACATTCAGTCAAGGTAAACGATGAAGTTTAAGTTGTTAAAATGTTGAAGACACATGAGCACTTTGTGTGTTTAGCCCCACCACCTTTTGATAACAAATTAGTGATGTAAAACATGGTGGTGGTGCATGTAATCCAGTGGTAATTAACATAGTTATACACCAGCATTGTCAAATGGCATTCTTGAGAATGTGAATGCAACTTATTCTAATCAAAATGTTTGATTAAACACATAGATCAGTGAAGACATTTCCCCAACTGAGGGTCAAGATGACTTGGACCCTTTGTGAATCAAGAAATAAATTTAGGATCAGTTGCTGGGGCATACTTTGGTCCTTTAATATGTAATGGGAAGCTTCTGCTTAACTGGAGCTGCATAAAACTTTGCACTGAAATGTTGAAATGTTTAAATGTGGCACACACTTACTCATCATGATGATAACAATAAGGGAAATACACTAAGCTGAATCAGTGAAGGAAGTTTTAGTTATCTTTGATATGTTAAGGCAACATTTATACAGAACAACAATGAAACGAATTAGCTCTTTAACCCTTATGTCTCTTTGCTTTTTTTAAGGTTGTATGTACCCGCTATCACAACTGGATGCAGAGATCTCTTATTTTTTTAGCTCCCAGGACTGTCTGTGCAGGACTACAAACTCTTAGAACACTTGTTGGGTGTCAGCAACTCTTCAAAGTGTGTAGATCCTCGCCTGTCTCTTCATGCTTTGAACATCAACCTTCACCCATTTATGTGTTTAATTTTTCCAGGGAAATCTGTAATTTTTCCTCAGTATCCCATAAACACAGGTTCCTCCAAAAGTGTTCTCCCCAGCTTTCCCTGCATCAGTATTTCTCCAACGAGCCAGATATGGCAGAACAGAGGTTCATTGTGGAATACGCCAAACGTGGTACTGCAGGTTGTAAGAAATGCAAGGACAAAATCCAGAAGGGCATAGTGCGTATAGGGAAGATTGTGCCAAACCCTTTCAGTGAGTCTGCAGGAGAGATGAAAGAGTGGTATCACGTGAAGTGTATTTTTGAGAAGCTGGAAAGGGCGAGAGCCACCACGAAGAAGATTGAGGACATCACAGACCTGGAGGGCTGGGAGGAGCTGCAGGATGAAGACAAGGAACTCATTAATAAACACGTTTCAGGTACAAGACACACACCCAAAATTACATTTTTTTTAATAATATTCAAAAGCCATATCTCTTCATAATGTTCAGCACTTATAAACATCTGATAAAATTGTTGTTGTATTTTTTCTTTTGTATGTGCATAATCTAGTATTGTGTATTCTAGGCAGTGCTAACACTTACTGGGAACTCATATGTAGCACATAAAAAGGAAGGTTTTACATGTTAATATCACCAATACATTATTACACATTAAGAAAGACAGTGACTATTACACTTTTGGAAAGACAGTAATCAGTGAAACTGGCCAGAGGCTGCAATACAGTGTAGAAACTAACTTCTTCTGTCTACTGAACTTTAACTTTCAATGTTGCACAGTTAGTTAAGTGATTATATATAATAAAAACCTGAGGCATCACATATCAGTACAGATCTCTAAGAGTTATACAAAGGCAATTGGACATGCTTGGGGTTCTGGTGCAAGAGTGTGTGTGAGTCTAAGTGTTATGTATATCTAGGCATAGATGTATGTGACATTCAGAAACTCAAAACATTCATCTTTGTTCTTGTTAAAACCATGTGTATTGAAAATGGGTATGATATGGTGTCTCAAGTCATTAGTCTTGTCTTGTAGACCTGATGGCCAAGGTCAATGCAAGTCCGAAGAAGAAGGTGCAGGCCAAGATGAACACCACTGGCCAGCTGATGGCTCCTCCCGCTGACCCGTCCGTCAACGCTCCACGCAAGTTTTCAGGCTTCACTGGTAAGATAAGACATCCAAGGCCAAGTAGTTTCTTATTTGTACTGTAGCCATTCACAAAAGAAGACATGATACAAAAAGCTGCTCACTTTTACAACTAAAGTAATGGATCCAAAGAACATGATATAAGAGTGAATGATTATTCAATTCTGAGACAACAAAGAGTAACATCTTGAACACCAAGGGTCAGAAACATGTGTGCCACTTCTCTCTGTTTATTCTGTCATGGGGGACTGGGCCCTGAATACACCACACCACAATACCATATGAAATTGCCTTAATGAACTAACTTTTTAATGCTGAGAAACAAATAGAAAGATCAAAAATGTGAAGCCAAACGTGTAGATGCAGGTCAGTTCAGTTCAGATCTTTTATTATGCCACAAGAGGACATTCATAGCAATAAAATAAAAGCAATAAACTTTATGTTTTCATAGCAACATAGCATAAAAACATCAGTCACAGTAAGTTCATGTGATTAATGTATATGATTCATTGAAATTAAGGGCAATTATTGCACATGGGATAAATAAAAACTTGAACCGGTTGCAACTAATTTCTGGAAGCTTGTATCTCTGACCAGAGGGGAAGATGTTGGATTTCTCAAAGACAGAATGGTCTTGATTTGCTATGATAGATTGAACTCTGAGTGATTTTATCTGTTAAATTCTTTGACCGTGAAGGCTGCTGCTCACCAACGGATTTACTCACACTTGATAATGTTGCCCAATTGGTCCAAATTAAACCAAATTATTGTATTATCCCCTTAAAAGTGATCAGTGAAGTCGACTGAAACGTACTAATGATCATTAAGCTGTTTTTATTCCACTGTGTATCCAACTGAAGGACTCGCTTTGCCAAATTTGTTCTCTTCACTTGTACTCTTCCTCTACACTGTCCTGTCCAGCTGCGAAGGCCGGCACCTCCAGCAGCTCAGGACCATCAACCCCTTCCCCTGCCAAAGCCAGCCAAGGCAGCCCCCTGTCCTCCCAGCTCTGTGACCCCCAGCACAAGGACTGCCTCTTCAGAGAGTTTCGCAAGCTTTGTGCCACGGTGGCAGAAAACAACAGCTACAATGTCAAGACACAAATTATTGAGAAGTATCTCAAGAAAGGCTCAGGTGGAGGTTGGTGTTATTTTGTTAGTTTTTAAAAAAAATGTTATACATATTGTTTATTTAGCACGACAACATCTGACTAAATCGAAGGTCAGGATTTCTATGACATAATGTTGTTCTTAAATGTTCTTTGTTGCCATCCTAGATAAGTTCCATGGAGATCTTTACCTGACAGTGAAACTGCTCTTGCCGGGCGTTGTAAAAAGTGTCTACAACCTCAATGACAAACAGATCGTAAAACTCTTCAGTCGCATATTCAGATGCGACCAGGATGACATGGTGCGCGATCTGGAGCAGGTCGGTGATCACACACGAACTCTTGTGCTTTGTGAATATTCAAAAGTATAGCACATAGCATGAATATTAGATAATTCAAATACCTTTGGACTAATAAAAACAGTCCCAGTGGATTTCTCTCTGGGCTAATTATAGTCCCCGACATTGTGCAGTAAAAATAATGGGAAAATAATCAAAAATGACACTTGAAAAATACAGTTGGTCTCTTTGTTTTTAAGGGTGATGTATCTGAGACAGTGAGGATGTTCTTCGATGAGAGCAAAGCATTTCCTCCAGCTGCCAAGAGCCTGCTGACCATCCAGGAAGTGGACGCATCCCTGACCCGCCTCGCCCAGCTGACCAAGGAGGATGAGCAGCAGACCGAGCTGGAGGATATTGCCAAAAAGTAATACAGTATATCATCATTTCCAAATTAATTGGGCTGGATAGTAAAGTAACACAGATACTTTCATTCATAAAAATAATAAACCCTGCAGACCTGCTCTATTAAAACAGTTTAAAACACTTTAAGACTCTTTAAAGTGACAACCTCAAAGATTTCAGTCCTGGTTGCTGTGGCGACACCTGTAGTTACTGGTGGTATCAGCAAATGCAGTTTAATACTACAGGGCAGAGAATTCTTGGGGCCACAAAAGAAACTATTGTCATTTTAATAAAGAAGTCAGGAAATAATTGGCCTTTTTTCCATCACTCTGTGGGGCAACCGTGATCTGATTTTATGCTGCACACGGTTGGAGGTGTGCAGCCTGTCGCCTGCAGCTCCTCATCAACTCACTGTGGCTGCCCCCTTGTTCCATTACTCCTTGCTCTATTAATATTTCAAACTGATCTGCTGTCAAAAAAATCCAAAAATGACCCCTGGCTTGTTTTGTAGATGCATTTTTGATGAACCACTGCTCACTGGCACACTGCATTTCCTGTGACTACTTCATATCAATGTCAACTCATGTAAAATGCTTTTAATGTGAAGCTGCAGCAGCAGGAAATGATCAGTTTACATTAGCAGCAACTTAATACATCATTTCTCCCTGGAAATTCCTAGTTTGTTATACTGCTAATATATAAATATCGCAATACTATCTTCAGTCGGCCACAGGCTCCATCACTGTTGTCACCATTGCGTTGTTCAGCGATACATAGTGACTTAACAGACATTTATTTAAATGAAAATCTTCGAGATCACCACTTTAATGCATCTAACAGCAACACAATCATTCATGTGGCTGAAATTAGAAATAACTTTAACTGTTGACACATAAAACAGTCGTTCACTATAGAGACTTAAAGGTGATTTTACACTAATGAAAACATAATTATGAATATTATATTCCATTTCTGCCAATAGATCCCCCTGAATTCCACACATTGATCCTGTAAGTGACCTGTGTTATACAGAGATGTGTGTCTGTTATTTAGCCTACCCTCATTGATTGGACAAAATAAGAGAAGCACCTCTGAGTAATGCAATACAGTTCAACAGCACCACAAACTACGTCCTCCAAAATTATCGTAAAGTTGAACAAACACCTCAATGTTAATAAAATCTGAACATTATGACCTTCATGAAGAAGGGTTTATTGCAGTACTATTGCAGTAAACAGTAAACGGTTCACTCCACCACTGTGTAAAAGCCAGAGAGACAGATTTGGTGTTTTCATTTCACAGTATTTGTAAATGATGCAATTATTTGTTTCCACATGTTTAGCTTGTCCTAGATTTTTATTGTTAGCATTTGTTGGTTTTGCAGTGTTCTTGTCTTTTAAGATTGTTTGCCTCAGGCATGTGTAACACACACACACACACACACATACATCTCTATTTGACATTCTACCCTCCACAGCTCAGACACCACAGCAGGACTGTGTTTATTTGTCCGAAATTGCATGTTCCTTGTAAACGGACAGAAACATTATTTTGTGCTGTACTGAATTAAATGTCTTAAACAATAGTCTTCATGGCTGAAATGAAGCAGGTTCTTTCTGAATTATTTACAGTTGATGTAATGTAATCTAACTATTGTATATTTAAACCCTTTCTGGTCGTAAATGTTTACATTTATGCTTCATGAAACGCTGAAATACTCCAGCACTTCACAATTTTTACCCCAGTGATAATCTGCATTCTCTGCTCATCACAGATGCACCAGTAATGACCTGAAATGCATCATTCGACTTATTAAGCATGACTTGAAGATGAACTCCGGAGCGAAACACGTGTAAGTGTCTTTGTCTTCTGCACGAAAGTTAATAAACACCATGTTCTTTCAGGCCTTGTGAGTAAATTTTTTTTATTGCCCTTTCATGCAGCTTGGATGCTGTGGATCCAAACGCTTATGATGCCTTCAAAGCCTCGCGTAATCTGGGTGATGTGATTGAGCGGGTGTTGAGGAATCAGCAGGAGGCGTCCAATGGTTCAGGGCCCAGGAAGCTCCTCACTGTGGAGGCCTCTCTCATGACCCCCGTTCAGCCCATGTTGGTGAGTATCAACGCTAAAATGCGAAAAATGTTCTTGCACTCCTGTTCTCAACAGTTCACTGTCTTTTCTTCATCTTACATCTTTTACATTTCTTGTTTTGACAACTTCTGTTTGACGACGTATGTTAAATGAATCGAATGAACACGATGGGACCTCTGAGCAATGACCTAATTTAATTGCTAAATCGTTATATATCATGTATCCAGCTGTGGACCCATACTGATTACAATACTGTAATTATCCAGTTTTGCTTTAGGGCAAGGTATGTGGGCTATCAGGGAAATTAACAAGGAAATTAGAAAGAGATTTCAAATAAAAGACAATAATTGTTGAATCTGTCTTAACATCATTGGCACTGTTAGAGTTCTTGCTCAGGGGCTTCAAGTAGGATTTTATACTTTTGTGCTTTCTATCAGTTCAGAAGGTCAGCTGTTCCTTTTTCAGTAATTCTACTTTTGTTCAATTAAGGTTAGGATGACCGTACATTTGGTCCAAACAAAGCAAACATACATTCAGCACTAGAGGAGGGGCTGAAAGTCTATCTAACCATCAACCTGAGTCTCTGCCTGTGATTGGCTTGTCAAAGGATTGAATGAGTTTCCTCTACATTAGGTGAAAGCTCCACATGCTACAGAGCAAACGATGTTCAGAGTGTTTCCAGCTGATGGCTCCAACCAAACAAACAGGCAGCAGCTGGACCTTATAGATAACTCTGCACTGTAAACACATGGTTATACTGACTCCCCTTCTGCAAATGCAAATATTAATTCAACATGATTTAAAAGGTTTTCCAAAAAACCTACAGACCATTAAATTTCACATTACACAGCAGACTTTTAATTACACAGTATGAAAGTAAATTGAAACTCACTGCGGCTCCGTCACATTTTAGTTTACAAATGAATAACACGGTCCAGCTCCTAGCTTCCCACGGGCTCAGAACTTTAGCGTTTTCACTCCTTACTTCATTCTCCCCTTCACATCGGTTCGCAGAAGATAAAATGCTGCATCACTTTCTGTTACATCCAGTAGACACATTAGCGAGAGAGAGAGAGAGAGAGAGAGAGAGAGAGACACAAAATTAAGTATGATTTATTTTGATGGTGTGCTCTGAAATGCAATTAGTGCACACAGAGCAGCAGGTGAACATGCAGTCACATTGCCAGCAGAGTCACAGTCAATTAGTGTAACAGTGCAATATTACCTGACTGCATACTGGTATCACACTGAAGGGGATAAATGATGTTTTTGTGAATGACACAAACACATGGTACCACACAATGGTAAAGTGGTAAAGAGTAAAGCGCGGCTTGCTGGCTTTCACTGTCATCACTGTTCTTTCCTGCATGTAAAACCAACGCCTAGATGCAGCAAGTGGGCTGTATTTTTGTGGTTTTGACCATCATTTCTATCAGTTATAAAAACACTGTTCTCATCAAAGTCATTTCTTAGACGTGGGAAGATGATAACGCCTCTACAATGATGTCAGACGGGTTAAAACACAGGAAGTCTCATGATCAGACAGGTTGTAAACAAACAAACAAACAGCTCAGCCAGTTCAGAAATGAAGAAAAAGTGCATGTGAGCACAGCAGAAATGTCATTAATAATCCTATACTGCACAGGACTGTGGTGAGTGCATTGATATTAGCTGTAGGAATGATAGCCGAAAGCATTACAACACATTTCAGAATGAATCTATCAGGATTATCCTTTACCTGCACCTGAAAGATGAGGACATTTCTGCCAGTGGACCAACCAGAGCAAACTTTTAATGAAGAAGTAGCCATAAGAAATTGCTTACCTGCTGAGAGCTTTGTGACTGATTGTTTTTTTGTGTGATTTCAGGCAGAAGCGTGTAAATCCATAGAGTACGCCATGAAGAAATGTCCCAACGGGATGTACTCTGAGATCAAGTACGATGGAGAACGAGTGCAGGTCCATAAGAACGGAGACAACTTCAGCTACTTCAGCCGCAGCCTCAAGCCGGTGTTACCGCACAAAGTTAGTCTTATCACACACTCACAGACACACGCATCCCGCACGAATGTAAACACACAGCCGCACGGTCAATGTATGAACAGTCAGAATAAAATGACCTCAGGTTTGCCCCTGCAGGATTAGCAGCTTAAAGGTATTATCCTAGTGTGAAATTCAGACATTTCCCACAGCGTTGCTTTTCCAGTGTTTGCTTTCTCTCTATGAGGCCCAGAGCCTTAAACATGCAGGAATAAATAGCTCGACATCATGTTCATTAGCCCTTTTAAACCACTAGAGGTTGCTGCTGTGCACACAATACATCACCCACAGTCACTATGAACCTTCAGTACAGAACACAGCACCAGGAAAAGAGCAGGAGAGCTTTTATACATGTGGATGTGTACAAGTCACGTGCCTCAACTCACCGAATGCTTATGTAGGCTTCTCTGCTTATTTTTTTTTTTGCTCTCTATTTGCACAATTTTGTCAATCATAGAACTAGTCTGTTTTTGCAGTGGTTTCTGTTAAAGTATGGACCAGGTGTCGCCCTCTAAACTATGTATGTTTTATTGTGTAAAAATTGCATGATGTAGGACAGGAAAACAGAAAACAGAGAATGTAGCCCTCTATCCTGAACGGCTATAGACATGTTTCCCTGTGTGACTGCCATGCCCGCGCTCCCATAGGCCAAATGACAGATTATGCCGCCTCAGCCCCTGTAATTAAATTAATTTATGTGAATGTTAGTATATTAGAAATTACATAAACGGTTTAGATCATCCACCACAAAGTATAATGAAGGTGGATAGAGAAGACGAGCCCAAATGAGGGAGACCAAGTGCGCGTGTGTGTGTGTGTGTGTGTGTGTGTGTGTGTGTGATGCCTATTAAAATCTTTTGGTGGTGCCGATCTCTTAAGTCGTGTTGTAATAGATGTTTCAAGCGCTTCCTCTTTTTACTCAGTGCCTAAGCCCAGTGTGTGTCCATGTTGATGTTTCAGGTGGCCCATTTCAAAGACTACATCCCTCAGGCTTTTCCCGGCGGCCACAGTATGATATTGGATGCTGAAGTCCTCCTAATTGACACAAAGACCAGTAAACCCCTGCCTTTTGGGACCCTGGGTGTACACAAGGTGGGAACACCAAAGCCAATTTGTACTTTTGTTTTTTGTTTTTTTTTTCCCAGACAGCATGAATTTTGTCACGCAGCTTGTTTTTTTGATCAGTCACTCTTGTCACATGTCACACTTTCCTCTCCTCTCCCTTCAGAAAGCAGCGTTTCAAGATGCCAAAGTGTGCCTTTTTGTTTTCGACTGTATCTACTTCAATGGCGTGAGTCTCATGGAGAGGTAATGTGTTTTCACTCCAGCTATTGAAAATAAAAGCATCTTTGAATTCCAGTGTACAAAGAATAACCCCTGATGGGAATGACGCAGGCATGCACTTTTCAACGTCGTTGGTAAGATGCTTGTCCAAACATACACAAAGACTTTGCTCTGTCCTTGTGCTTTACCACTCGCGTGTGTGTGTGTGTGTGTTTAACGCTTTAACAGTGTTATTTATATAGTGTTTTGATATTGGTTTTACGTCGAGATCTCATTTTTATTTTAGCCTCTGTTTATTTAAAGGGAATTTCCTTGTGGGTTTGGTAGTTCTACTTGTGATTTATATAGTTTCAGTGTTTATTTAGGTAGGACTAAGATTAGATTAATGGAAAAAACTGAGTCTCTCTGGTATATTTGTGTAAATATATATCTCTCTAACTTAATCTAAGAAGAAGCAGCTATTTTACCCAAACTTGAATGTTTTATTAGTTTGTATATAAGGACAAAATTTAAAGCCCTTTAACATTAAATTTAGTATTTTTTCAGTCTTGTTTTTATTTTTAGAGACATTTCCCAGCATCTTGTATTTAGATATAACATATAACAAGCTGTCTTACATTTATTCACTGGCATCATATTCTCCAGGCCGCTGCGTGAACGCAGGAAGTTCCTACATGACAACATGGTGGAAGTTACCAACAGGATCCTGTTCTCAGAGATGAAGCATGTCACTGTAAGTACAACTCTTTCTGCTGTATGCACACATCTTTAATAGCTCAGTGCCGCATGGATAGCAGCTCATGCTATGTTCTGTTGTGTGCGTGGCAGAGGGCGGGAGACCTGGCTGATATGATAACTCGTGTCATCAGAGAGGGACTTGAAGGCCTGGTGCTAAAAGACATAAAGGTGAGTTGCTTTTGTGATGATAATATGGGTCTAATGTAAGATTCTCTGTCCTCGCAGTGGATCTCTTACTAACTCAGTTTTTTTTTTTTTTTTCCCCAACTAAAACATGTTATACTTCACATCTGTTGCAGTGCTAAAACGCAGTAACACAATTTAACGCGATTTATACTAAAAGTTTGAGATGATTGAGGTTTATATCTGTGTCTCAGGGCACCTATGAACCAGGAAAGCGCCACTGGCTGAAGGTGAAGAAGGACTATTTGAACGAAGGCGCGATGGCAGACACGGCTGATCTGGTGGTGCTGGGGGCCTTCTATGGAAAAGGCTCAAACGGTCTGTAAAGCCCTAACCATCTACTACAGTGTATTAATTTCTTTATGCGGGGGACTTGTAGCCTTGACGCTTTATCTTACTTGTTCTGACAGTTTTAGTGTCCCCTTTTTTTTTTTCCTATTTTCAGCCATTTCCTGTAAGGTGAGGGGCGTGACTCGGGTACTCCCAAATTAGCTAACCAAGACAGTTTTACCATTACTATTAATTTTTAATGATATGAAAATTCTTTTAATGATCAGAGGGACCGTTTTGCGAAGTGTTCAAGTTTCAGCAAAATTGATATTTAATGTGTTTTGTTAATTATATGAACAGGCTCTTTATTAAACAATACATTAGGATTTGGTATGAGAGGATTTACAGTGGGTTTAAATAGTCTGTATGACCCTAAGTCAGATCTTCAACATAAAAACGAAAATGTGTGTGTGTACTGATCAGCCACAACATTAACCCCAGTTAGTTTGGTTTATGTATGTACACAGAAATATGTAATTTGCCCAGGGCTTCCCAGACTTTTGCATACAACTGTACTTAGACAGGAAATTAACAACAACACATCTCTATTAACTCTATTCCATTGTGAGCTCAAATAGACACAACATGCACAAGGATAAGCTGTCATTAGGTAAAGCAAACAGACAGACAAGATATGGGAGCCTTTGAGGAGGCTGGGTAATGAGCATGTAACACAATGGAGGCATAACAAATGCAAAAACAAAAAGGTACACATCTCCAAAACAGGGCTAATAAAGACAGCTCATGCAGTGTGAAGACAATCTAATGGAGCAGAGACGATAAATCAGATGAAAACACTTGTCATAACACACTGTAGGACGGAAGTGGGAAGTAGCAAGCAGCAAGCAGCAGCTGGAAAAATAGACCTTATAAGTGAGTCTGAATAGGCCAGTTTTGGAAAGTCAAGTGAAATTATAGACTGTAGGCGTGTGTATTCAACGCCCGTGGAGGGGACTGTTAAGTGGGTCGGAAGTCTCAGAGGCAGCACTTTTCTAAATTTCCTTCCTAATATAAGGTGTGTTCTTCTACCCACCAGGGGGCATCATGTCCAGTTTCCTAATGGGCTGTTACGACCCGGACTCGAAGAAATGGTGCACAGTCACCAAGTGCTCTGGAGGCTACGATGACGCCACCCTGGCCAGGCTCCAGAAGGAGCTGGATGTGATCAAAATCAGCAAGGTCAGAGAGGATCCACTTAGAGGCCTGCCTGGAATATGGAGCTGATGTAATAAAACTGAAAATGAATCTTTTGTGTGTTTGTGTGTAGGAACCAAGCAAAATCCCAGGCTGGTTGAAAATCATCAAGAACTATTATCCAGATTTCATTATCCGTGATCCTGAGGTGAGATTTCATTATTCAGCGCATTTGTATTTCCCAGTGGACCTGTTCACGCTCAGCCCAGCTGTATATCTGGCTACTGTAGACCTTTAAATGAACCGATCAGTTAAAAGCATCTCTTGCATGTGTCTTCAGCAGGAACGTTTACAAATAAATTACTCCGACATATCGAGATAATGACCGCCCACGCTGTAGAGCTGGGAAGTCTTTCCAACCTGCTTATTTAATGAAAATACTTGAAACTTCAGAGACTTAAAACGTTTGATTGAAATGACCCTTCCTGGCTTGAGGTTTGAAAATAGATTGAGAACCAGTAATGAATTCCACAAACTTCTTTCCATAAATAGTAATTATCAAGGCTTTTTTTTTTTGGTCTTTTTTTTTTCCATCTAAAAAGGTAAAAGCAGTTGTATATTTACCTTGTCATTTATTTTTCACCTGCTGCAGCAAGCACCTGTCTGGGAGATCACAGGCGCTGAGTTCTCCAAATCAGAAATGCACACAGCCGATGGCATCTCTATCCGCTTTCCCCGCATGACGCGCATCCGTGATGACAAGGACTGGAAGAGTGCCACCAACTTGCACCAGCTTAAAGTAGGATATCTCCTGCTTTGATTCAAGTGTACATGCCATAGTCTGATTGTGCAGTGGTGTTAATAATGTATAGCTCTCCCTTAGTGCTTAAAGAATGAGTGGAGTGTGTTGAAAGTTGAGTTGGGTTGAAAATCTAACTTTTTGCGTCCTTTTTTTCCCCCCATTTGATACCAATTCAAGGACAACGACGTGACAATGAATGATTGTAAAAGCAGCTAATTTATGGCACTATAGGAAATAATTAAGCATTGTCACATAATGATTAGATTTTTAATGAGATCCCAGTCACAAATAATGCTGTAGGAATCAGTTGCTCATTTGATACTCAATGCCTGAAGTGCATGCCCTGGGGTTGTTGCTAATTACTTTCCATCTCTATTGTAATATATGATGGAATATGGGCGAGGAAGGGGAGGCCAAGTGATATAGGAGATGGGAGTAGTAAATAATAATAAATAAGGCCACTGTTGAACAAAGCACCCATGGGACTACCTGAGTTAAGTATGATTTAAATGCAGAGGAGGACGAGGCCCAAATTTGCAGTCAGAGTCATCCACCAAACACTGACAAATGAGCTGAAATATTGGCTGAGGCAGTAAAACATGTCTGCGCTAAATTATTTGAGTCCAACACAGGCCTTCAATCTCTGGTGACACGAAACATTACATCTCTTGGCTGAAGTCCATGTTGTCATTTCATCAATCTGCTCAGGAGCTGTATCGCATATCAAAGGAGAACTGTGACTTTAAAGTGACAGCTGGACCGTCTACATCCAACGATGACAAGGGCTCGTCAGGAGGGGACAGCGGAGGAAACTCGCCGTCGCCCTCGTCCCAGCGAGGCGCCCCTCCCAAGAAAGCCAGTAAGTACAATAGCAACATAAGTGACAACTTAGTGACACCATAGTTTTACAATGATGCTTATGCAACGGTTTGACGCTACAGCCCATGTTTATAATAAGGCAGGATCCCTACTGTTGAAGGGTGTTCAGGCACTGCAACTGACAATTATTCTCAATATCATTTAATCTGCTGAATATTTTCTTCATTAAGCTTTTAACCGGTGCAGTGTCAGTGAAGTGAGAGTCTGAGATGACATTTTGAAATTGCTCCAATTGTTTAAAACCGTATGAAGGTTTGAACAAAGAAAAGCAGCAAATCTTTACATCTGTTAAGTTGGAAGAAGCAAAAGTTTTTACTTGAATATTTTCTCAAAACAATCAATTAAACAAAACCATTGCAAATTTTCACCTCATTATTTGCTGAAATTTGGCCTCTGGAGTATTTTTGCAGTCCATGTTTATTCGCCCCGTTACAGCCCAGATGTTAGCTGTGGTACATAATGTAACACTGGATACTCCTATTCTGTTATTTTCCTTCAAAGCACTTTTTTTCCCCTGTCACTTTATATTCATGAAGTGGAGTCAAAGCCTTGGGACAAGCACCAATTTTGTTGCTCAAGTTGAAACATTTTCAACTCATGCGGACACATCTTTGCCTTCACCCACAGCAATGTCAATGTCATCATCATTTACACGCCTTTTAAAAGACAGCCTCAGAAATGGAATGCATGGTATTTATTGTACAGCGGAATAGGGTTCATTTGGCAACTTAAATTTTACCTGTAACACAGACAGAGATGTGTTGGTTGACTCAGCATTCAGAGCCCGGTGTCATGTGTGGCTGAGTGCTGCAATGCCACCTTATTCGAGATACCATCAGTAACATACACTCAATTTACAGGCAACAGCACGCCACCCAAACCAAAGGCGGTGAAATCCCAGCCTCGCACTCCAGCCTCAGAAGCACCCGCTCCCAAGAAGGTACTGACAGAATGTTCACATGACAGATGCACACTTTCAATTTTACATTCAATTCTGTGACACAGTGGGGAAACAGTGGACTTGAGCTGCACGGGCTAAACTCCATGCAACAGTAGTTGAAGTGACCGTTGTCCATTTACCACCAGGTGAAGAAGAGCGAAAGTGTTCACAGCAACGGACAACAAAACAAAACAAAGGCAACTTCTCAACTGCTGCAGCCAAGGAATGACAAGGTTGGTCAACAGCAGGTCTCACTTCATTTATACTGAAACTGTCACGGTGCTTTATAAAAACACTACAGAGGAAAAAGCTGAAGAATTTGATGTAAAAAATTTTCTGCTGCTTGTGGGGTATAATGTTTTTTTATCTTAATGGCTATTTTTAAATACATACACCACAGTGTTGACAGTCAGTGGACTGTGTAGTTTAGCTGATTAGTTCATAAATTTCATAATTAAATAATTGACTTAAAGCCCCAAATATTCTGGCAGCTGCATCTTCATTCATGTGAAGAATGGGTTCCACTGTCTTACAATTCCATAGACCAAAAATATTCAGTTAATCTACTTAGCTGCAGCTAGGTTTGTGCCGATTGGCGACCAGATTGTCTATCGACAACAAGAGACACAAACACCTGTTGTTTTGTCAGCACAAGACTCTGCTTCTTCATTCAAACCAACCTCTTCATGCTCCCTTTTCCATTCAAGTGTGTTGTGCAAACTGACAAAACCCAGAATCTCTGTTGTCCACATGCAGCTGCTGCTGCTCAATTCTAGACTGCATGTGTGTTTGTGTGTCCACCTGGTCTGTGAGCCATGCAGCTCTTTTCTCCTTTTCACCATCTCTAAGTGCCAAGCCTGTTGCAGCCATGGCGGCTTGCATCGCTAGCTGAAGCCTGAAATTCACTCGTGAGTGTATATACAGTAAACACCTGTAATTACTTACAGTTGACTTCGTTATTTTTCAGTTATGCACTGCAGAACTAGTTTTCGTGTGTATAACATGAGTGAGGGAGAAAAAACTTCATATTTTTATGCTCACTACGTCGTCTGATAAATTGAACCAATATACAGGGTAATGGCAGCAGCTGTGCTTTGGGATCGGCCATATTAACATTTAAAAAGAGTTAAAGTTACCCCACCCCTTTCAGTCACCGGAGGCGACCATATCATCTATCAGCAATCGCTGGTAATGACAAAATAACAGTATGAATAAAAAACTGTATTCATTTGTAATCATTTCTGGTCATGCTGCAGTAATTACAGAATTAAATCAAATAATAAAACACAAGTGTCATTTTGTAATTTTACTCCTGCTGACCAGTTGTGTTGTTCCCTGCAGACTCTGATGGACATCTTCAGCGGGGTGAAGCTCTTCATGCCCATCTCAGTGCAGGACTTTGACAAGCTGAGGCGGTACTTTGTGGCGTATGACGGAGACCTCGTCCCGGACTACGACACCACCTCAGCCACACACACTCTGGCTGAACCTGAAGAAGACAGCCAGGCCCAGAGAGTCACACCCAGCTGGATCTGGGAATGTATCCGCAAGAGGCGCGTCGTACCTCCCTGTTAATTTAAAACAAACAAACAAAAAACAACAGTGTTTACCTCTACTACACATCAGTGTGACTTAACTTTATGCATGTCAAACCATACGAACAGGGCTAATCTTTATGGGTTAGATTACGTGACACTAGACACTGTGTCCATGGGATTTACACACTGCTCTCACTTTTATTTTTTCCCTTTGTGTTTTGTACACTTGCAAACCAGCAGGGGCCACATTCAGTACACATTCACTTTTGGAGTTTCAATTTTTTTTTTTCTTTTTGCCAATTTCAGGTAATGGAAAAATAGTGAATCCTGGTGATAGATGTAGTTTTTTGTAAGAATGACATGAAAGAATGAAATGCATTTTACATAAAAATCATGTAACATAAAATTACAATACAGACAGTTGAACTAAAAGACGGGTGTGTAGGATTTAGGGAGATCTATTGTCAGAAATAGAATAATATTCATAATTACGTTGTCATTAGTGTACAATCACCTGAAATTATGAATCGCTGTGTTTTCATTGGCTTAGAATGAGCCCGTTATATCTACATAGCACTCCATGTTTCTACAGAACGGACAAAACAAACACTGGCTCTAGAGAGAGGGCATTTTGTGTTTTTATGTCACCTGAAGGCCACTGTAGATTTTCTTGTATGATTGGAAAGGGAGGGAGGGATGAGGGGACGGGTATGCAGCTGGTTGTGACCTGCATGCAACTAAATCCTACACACTGGTCCTTTTAAAATAATGTTTTTTTTTTTTTTTCTAGAATCATGTTTTATTTTTACTGCCAGAGTGAAACATTTCTTGGGGTATTAAACCCCAGATCATGAAGTGAAAACACCCAAATGTGTCTGCCATCAGGAATAAACTAAATGTTGATGAAGATAATAAACGTGTCAGAAGCACCATTCTAATGCTATTTATATCCTCCAATTTACTCTGTAGCCACTTACAGTAAAAGCAGTGGTGTTACAAATATGACTTAAATGGATTTCGGATGCCTGCCCAAACTACGGACTTCCTGTGTGAGATACAGGAAAAATACATTTTTCCTGTCTGAAAACAGAGCTATTTCTTTGGAGAGTGCCGTTCACCTTCCCAAATTCACCAAGATCATATGAGAGGAATTACTTGTTTTAAAAGGCTTCTCTCCTCCTAAACCAAATACATTTCACTCTGATTCTAAATCATGAGACTCTTTGTACAATACGATGAGATGCTGAAAGGTTTTTTACTGCAGCCTCCTGCATCTAATGGCTTTTCAAGGATAATTCAGATTTGCCTTTTTATCCCCGGGATACTTTAGGCTATGAGGTGGCTTAATTAAATGTTTGAATGTATTAAAGCTCTGAAGAAGCAAAATCCACTTGAACCTGCTCTGCCTCCTCTGAAAGGCCTGAACTATAGAGGAGTAAGGACTTGGCTCTTTATTCCTCCCTCCTCTCTCAACAGGTAAAAAGAAAATCTAGGGCCAAAATATTAATACTGCAGCAGATGACTGACAGAGCATCTCAAAGGTATATGCTGCCAATTTTGCAGCAACAATCATTTTGATCTGAATAACTGCTATAACTTAATTCCAGTTATCAAATATTTGCATATCGCTCCAAAGACACATTTTCTTGCAAATTTGGTCAAGAAACACTCATTTACCTTTGGTCAGAGGATTATAGTCGGCTCTCATCAGGAATCAGTCTCATCCAATTTTCGCTTTCCTGAGGGTTCTACTTGCGAGCGACTCCACCACTGCAAGTCGAACTCTTCTTTGATGTGACAAGGCTAAGAAGTAGAGCAGATGACAGGGTTGATTTAGACCTAGTTTAAAAAAACAAAACAAAAACAACTCGGCTGCAATATAAAACATTCATTTTGGCAATGTTCACTTTGTTTGTTTCATCTGATGGACGACTTTTATGATTCCAAAAACAGAAAATGTATAATAAATGCATTTGTGGACAGTTATTTATGCAAGGAGGAAAAAGTACAACAGTTTTCAACAATAACAACAATTTCCTCCTGGTATTAATATTAGTCCATTCATGTATTTGCTACGCTGTAGTCAGAAGGCTGTTCTGCTGCCTCACTTATTTTTGCCCGCTCGGTGTGTAACTGAAAAACTACAACAAACCCTTGAATCACATCAGCTACATGATAATGGTGTAGAGCTGAAACCTGCAACATACCTTACACAGTGTATTATTACTTTAGTCAAAGAAAAAAGTATTTTGGGAAGCTTTAGCTCCTATTTACTGATGATTCTTTTTTTTTTTTTTGTTTATTGTATTAGTTTTCATATCTCCATGCAGCCATTGGTTCGTGCGGTACTGAAATCAGTTTGAAGACTTTTTCAGATCTGTATTACACCACAGTGAATACTACTAATGTTTCAAGAGTCAAATACTGTATTTTTCTACTGTTTGAAAATAAATCGGACACCAATAAATGCATGGAATACATGCTCAAAACACACAGCTGTGATGTAAGTATATGTGGTTTGTAGTAACACTGTTTTATAGCAAACCAACAGGTATGTTAAAAAGGTCCCATATTATATAAACTGAGGTTTCCATGTCTTTTTTGATTATAGATCAGGTCTAGGTTCTTTATTAATACTGTGAAAATATCAAAGCGCTCAGTCCACAGAGAAATGCACACAGCCTGGGTTCAGAAACTGAACCTTAAAACCAGCCGTCAGGACTTCTGTAACTCTGTGATGTCAAAACAAAGCAGTCAATGCTCTCAGCCATACCCCAAGCCCCGCCTACCTGGAGCCACCATCCAACCTTGCAGGATTTGGTTTCTCTGAGTGTTTACCTGAATATTTTTATTTGATCACTCCAAAAACAGTCGGCCAATCAAGCTCAAAGCATCCTCTCTTCTGATTGGTTCACTGACCTGTTGTTACTAGAGCTACAGAGAGAAGCCTGAGAGAGGAGATGTAAAACTACATTGAGATGGTTTTTGGTTCTTAAAACCACAAATATATGTTCTTATAAATATCAACACATCAAATAAAAAAATGTATAAGTGTAAAATATGGGACCTTTAGGACAGTGTGTGTTTACACCTTTCTCCAATAAAAAGAATGCACAAATAATTAGTTTATAGAAACATTTTTTGGTTATGGTAGTAAAGCAGTGAAGAAAAGACTTTTAATGAGCAATAACTGCACAGTAAATCTGCACTAGGCTCCAAACTGCAGCCAGAGGCGACTGTTTGAAAATATAAACTTCGCTAACAAGAAATCTTAACAAAGTATCTACAGTTTTATAGAGACCAAACTTCACTTGAGTGCTCGCTCAGGGTTTAATATTTTGTCACATCTTGTAGATGGATGACTGTGTACATGGCAGTAGAATTGTTTTTGGGTGAACAGCTGGGTGTCCTGTATCTTGTTTGTTGCTTTGTCTTTGTTAATTAGAGTGATGAGATATTTTTCTTGCAAGAAGCTGCTGTTAAAATGAAATAAAGAGCTTCTTTATCAAACCAGACCTGTTTTCAAAAAGAGCAAACACGACTTCAAAAGCTCCATTATAACAAGACATTTTGACGTTTGCCTCTCAATGAAACCCCCTTTAACAGAATCAATACTGTGTTGCTGCAGCAGATGATGGGCAAGTCAATGCTGCTCGTCGTACCTGTCTAGAAGACTTGATCAGTGTTGCAGAGCGCACACTGGAGCGGCTGACAGCCGTGGCCTTCTCCGCTCGCTCCAGCAGGACTCTGGTTCTGGGGATGTGACTCCATGATACACCGAGGCCTGGCTGCACCTCCCCGCTGCCGCTTCTCGTTACATGGTTTGTAACCTGCAGGCCCAGACACCTTCATGTTAAGTTTTTAGTTGTTGTTTTTTTTTTTCCCCTTTCTCTCTCGGGATTATCACACCATTTCTACATACTGTTTTCTGATGCAGTGTAGCTTTCCAGAGATAATGAAAGCTTTAGAAGACGGGGAAAAAATAAGTAGGACAAGCATATCGTCCCACTTTTAATCAAACGGGACATCAAACAGCCCGTCAAATTATCTTTATCTCACTTCAAATAACTTGATGAGCTGAGGTGAAGGCAGATTTTCTTTGGTGCATGCCTTTTAATGCGATTAGTTCTTTTCTTCTTTTTTTTTTTTTTTTTTACATAATTATAACCTGCAGTCATACACCTGAACTAACAAAGGTGTTTTTGTTTTACACCTTCAATTGTCAGAATTGTTTTTATCTTGATTCTGTTTTCTTACCCAAAACAAAAGGTGGGAAAAAAATTGCTTAGTTTTCATTTCAGGTCTTACAGCAGTAACAAGAGAAAGGGTGAAAAGGTTTGTGGGGAGTTTAGATTGACACTGGAAATGCATCTTGCATCCAGAGCAGCACACGTCAAAGGGCTGTGTCGTCCTTACTAAAACAGCAGCATTGAAGTCCTTCGCCAGCGTCTTCAGAATTCCTGCCACTTGTATCATCAAGGACATCCCTGGAGGCACAGGAAGTTGTGGCGAGGTTAGTCTGTGTGCAGAATACTTTTAAGTCTTATTGTTGACTCACTTCGTTTTTAGCCACACTTGGTGTGGGCTCTAGTGATGGCAATGACAGACGACTATTTGGCAAATATTAGCATGTTAACACGCAAAACTAAGATGATAAACATGGCAAATATTACCTGCCTGTTGAGCTACATACAAATCGTACACACTATGTACTAATCTTCACAGCATACACTTCTTTGCAGTTAATTAAAGAAAAAAAAAAAAAAAAAAAAACTCCTCAAACTCAAACATACTCAAAACCTGCTTTGAATCAGTATTAGCATATAATAGCTAACCCCATTCGTGACCTCAGCAGTACGAGCATTACTTCAGACCATCTTTGATTCAGTTACGTAACATCCCCAACTTAAAACTCAAATATCAAAATGCTAATTTTTGCCTATCATCCAGCAGCAAGTGTCATCTTCAGGTTATTTTAGTTATCTCAGATGTCCACTGTCTGCACAGAATGATAAAATGTTTGCCCAGGGTGACTGTGCCAGTCACTGCCTCGGCCTGCCACAACCAGCTCAGTCTGTGGACACATGAGATCACAGAATTATCTTTGAAGATGTAACCTGCGGGTTGAGGACAGCAGTCTTGACTTCTGTCCTAAGGTCCACATGGAAAACTTTCTGTGACTGTATAAAAGATCAAAATGTGGTCAAGGTCAAAAATGGGCCGATTAAGTCGCCAAATACACTGAAGGATATTTTTTTTAATATAAATATAAAATTTTAGGACATTAATAATTACTCTATGATACAACTACCTCATCTCAACATTATCTGAGCTGAAGTGAGCTCCTTCTGTTGTCACATGACCTCCAGTTTAGAGACATAGTCTGAAGTGTTTTTGTTATAATATATATATATTATTTTATTCACTTGTGGAGAAAAAGAAACTGATTCCAGAGAAATTATATTGATATGAAAACAACCTTTGATTACTATACATAGATACATAGAGTTATTTTAAAGTGTCTAAAGCCTTTAACTAAATGCTTCATTAATTATTTCTTATGACTGGAACTCACTTAAATGTGATGGGAACCCCTTTTTTATTTTTTATTTTATCTTATAGATTCTTGACAGGCGTTAGCAGTTTACAGGCTCAGGTGTAAACACAGCCTCAGGAATGATGG